TAAGGGAATTGCGGATCCTGGGCAGCAAGGATCTGAACTTGGCTGGAGCGCAGCGACCACCCAGTTATAGGAACGCCAGCGCCCTGCTTTCAAGCCATGGGCGAGCGTGCGGAGGATTTGTCCTCGGTGCAATCGAACTGCGCTTTTCCCCGGTTGTGCACCCGCACAGCTTTCAACTTTTGCTCCTCCCCGCGAAAATAGGAAGCAACCCCTATTAGGGAGTCGTGGGATTTTCTCAGCTCCGCAAAGGTGCGAAGATTGTCTCTCCCGCTCACCTCCCTCCTGCCCGCGGTCTCTGCTCGCCCTCCGCGCAGGGGACCACAGCTCCCTGGGCTGCAGCTGAGTGTCTCCGCCACGCCTTTGCCTTTGCTTTTTCCCTGCGAATTTGGTGAGTCCGGGCTCCAGACCAGTTTACGTCCTCTTGGAGCCATCTCTAGCGGAATTGGGGGCGGAGAGTAAAAGGAGGGGTTCGTGGAAGTGAAAGAAGGTAGGCGTGGTGCAAACGCCCAGATGATCAAACTTGGGGGTGTTCAGGGGAGTAAGAGTGACAGCTGCAGGTAATAGTAGGACCTGCTATGGGGCACCTCGCTGAGTAAGTCTGGCAGCTGCGTTGCGCGGTCTCCCTATACCAGGACGCATCCAAGAAAAAGCGATCCTCGCCCCCAGTTCCCTGGCCACGGAAACTTCCTATCCAGCTCCCTCCGCTGCAGGGCGATCTCTCCTCAGCCTCCGAACCTGTTTCTTTTTCTTCAAGGGAGCGGTTCGCCTCTCCCGCCCCCAGTCCTATCTCCACCCCCTCCCCCCGCCGCCCCATCCTCTACGCCCACCCGAGACTGTGCAGCGCAGTGCGGTGCCCAAGCGCCCACGGCGGAGACAGCAGCCAGGCTTCAGGGAGCTCCAGCTACTCCCGCTGCTCGCCCGCGCAGTCCACTGCCCAGGACCGTCGGAGCAAACACAACTGGGTCAGCTTTGGGGGCCTTCCAGGGTCCTCTCCGGATAATCATCGGACTGACTGGCTGCACACTTCTTGTTTTACAGTCTCAGCAGAAACGCGAGGGCCAGGTCAGTAAGTCCTACCTCTGATTCCCCTTCTGGGAACTTGAACATTGGCAAAGAAGCCCAGGGTCCTATGAAATAGGCACTGGGGTGGTGTTTCCAAGCGTAATCCCCCACTTCCCAGCCACATTTAGGTGGGTAGTGGGGATGGGGGAGTTTATGCCGTTCTCCTTTTCTCCCTGTGCTAGAATTTTCCTTTCCTGAAGATTCTTGACTTTTTCCTTGTGCCTTCTTAGAGATAGGCAGGTTGTTCCTGTTTACCTTCTCTTTAAAAATCAAACGCCTGCCTAAAGTGCAAGATCATATTGGATTCTCCAAAGCTGATCAAGAATACGTTTATTTAAGCATTCACTCATTTTTTTTTCTTTAAAAAAAAAAAAACAGGGCTCACTCACCAGTAGGAACATATGGTGAAGGGAAAGGAGGTGAGATGAAAAGCTTTAAAGATGTTTCTCAATAGGAACATATCATTTAAAAACCTAGGGACATGAAATAGAAAAGGCTGACTTCAAGAAAAGGTCAGGAGCTCAAACACGTGAAAGAGACACAATCCCAGATTCATTGGTTAATATACTTAATGTTGTACTTAGGCACACAATCGTGTCTTGCATGTATCATTCTGGAAAGTTTCTTCTCTCCACATCCCAGGATTAACAAGTAAAGGCAACCTAAGGTGTGGGGCATGATTTCTGAGATTTTTCCCTAAGAAAAGATTACTGTAAGATGCTGTGCTTGGTAAAATGATAGGCTTCACTAAGGCCAACCTGGGACGATAATGTTTCAGAAAGAACTGTTGAAAAATCCCATAGATATGAAGTATGTAATTAAAAAGAAGGCTTACAGGGCTGGGGTTGTGGCTCAGTGGTAGAGCACTTGCCTAGCATGTGTGAGGCATTGAGTTCGATTCTCAGCACCACATATAAATAAATAAATACATAAAGGTCTATCAACAACTAAATTTTTTTTTTTTTAAAGAAGGCTCTCAGACTCATTATTAAGTTGCTTTGAATCTCAGGGGGAGACACAAAGGAAAAACGAAAGAAAGAAAGAAACCCAAACCTCAAACCTCATTTCCTATTTTACAAAGAAATGTTTTAATAACAAAATAACTAAACATTCACTTGTTCAAGAAAACTGCCATTCACAAGTTCTCCTTAAATTTCTTGAATACTGTGAATGCCTATTTTGCCTTATTTCAAGAAAATATTTCTTCTTTGTCTGCTTTTCTTGTAATTTTTGTACATTTTGAGTTTCTATGGGCAACTTCCTTTGCGTACTTTCTTTTCCTCTTCTACTTTTCCAGAAGTGCTACTGAGAAGTGACAGATTTTCTGCTCTGGGTAATGTTTTGAACTGGCTGAAAGCCAGTAGTGTGCTTGCAAGCATCTAATCATGTCCATATGCTAATAGCTTATAGATCAATAACCATTCCTGCAGAGAAGGTGTAAATAAGAGGGCTTTGAAATAAATAAAATAAGACTGAAAAGAAAGAGCAAACTAAGTCAATGAATCAAATACACCCCCCCTTCCTAATGTCCTTCGATTTCATGCTTACTCTCAATTTAGTCTGCTAAAATCTCCAAAGTGAATTCTTGAGTCTCGTTAATTCTGTTAATGAGTTGTCTGGATTGACTAATTGTGTTCTGTAGAATCAGTTCTTACTCTAAAGGAAATGGTAGAACCTATCAAATGCATGCTCCATGATCTGAATATCTTGTTTCCATTCTTTCTATTTACTAGAGAAGGGAAGCAAAGGGGAAAGAAAACCTGGTCTACTTGGAACATTCTGTTTGAAATTTATGCAGAGGGAACTAGAATAAGTCAATATAGCAAATACACAAGTTCATGGAAACTACTTAGTACTCCTCTGGGTAGTAAGGGTACTATGAAGCGGGATGGCCTAAAATAAACAGGAGAGAGAGGAGAGAGGAGACAAAGAGAGAGAGAGAACCCAAGAGAAATGGAGAGAGAGACACACACACATATTAGAGAAGTTTCTTTGTGGTGTATACTGACAATTTAAATGATTACAATCAAGAATTGACCTAGAGGTTCTTTGGATAATTTTCATATAGAAGCAGTTATCTGATTAAATAGAACAAAACAGGCATAAGAATGACATGTCCTGGCAAGAAGTCCTGTATAGTTAATTATCTATAGGAAAGGATCAAAATTACACTTTTTAATTAAATAGCTGATGTTGATTATTAGTAAAATTGTGCTTTCCTTTAGTTTCATATTTGTTTTGCCAGATTATTGAGTGTCTTGAGTGTCTTGGATGGTGCTCAGGATTAAATAACGAATGAAAAAGACCTAGCTTCTTCTGCCTGTGAAAAGCTTGCTGTGGTGGGGTGAACAAAAGAGAATGATCACAGGGTGGCCTGTGCAGCCTTAGAAGTGTTGGGATAACTGAGAGGCTTCCTGTTATGACACAGACAGCAGAGGGAGGTCTGAGAGAGCCCAAGTGATGCTGGAATTGGGAGCAGTTCATTGTGACAGAGTATACATTGGGATGTGGAGATGAGGCCAGAGGAGTAGGCAAGGAGGGCATCAAGATGTGAATGTCATACTGAGGATTGGATTCCCCCGCATAGGCCAGTGTTATCATTATGTGTGGGTGCAGACCCTTTAGTGGGAGAGAAAATTAAAGTAGGCATGCTGTCAGCAGACCATACAAAACCAAATCTCTTTCAAAATGTGAAAGAGAAAGAATCTAATGCAGATAAGTGGTTACACAGGTGATGGAAGCCAGATAGGGGATGTTGGGGCTACTCAGGGATTAGCAACAGCAGGGGATCATCACCACCCCCTGGCTGGAGAGACATGCAGAGAGGCAGTGTGGCAGAGGCCAGGAACCAGGACCATCCACTGCAAGCAGGATCACAGAGGGTTTGTATTATAGATGTCAGAGCCAAGGAGCTGGTGCAGAGGTGCAGCTCAGAACAGAGAGGCAGAGGAAAGGAGGCAGAGGCTTCCTCCTTCTTCCTGCTGCTAATTACCTGCCAGTTCCTCCTATTAACTTTCCAGAGCCAGAATCCCAGACTCCTGATGAATGGGGACCCTGCAAATGTCTCTGTGAGACTCAATCCTCTTGTAGTGTGGAATAGAACAGAGTAGGAAACGGTGGGAGATGCAGCTGAGGCACACAGGTGAAGACATTTTTAACTTTAGGTGATTTCATTAATGCAAAGACCATAGACTGGAGTAGGTCACACAGAAGGGAAATAAACAGGGACTGGGAGGTGGCAAAAGGAAAGGAAAAGTGCTAAAACGTTTTATTTAGGGGTTTTAGGGGGATGGAGCTCAGACTTGAGCATACTTCTCGGGTAGTATCTGTGCAGGATTCTACTGTGTTACATGGGAAAATTATTTGTCAACCAGTACACTAGAAAAAATGGTTATGAAGCCAAATCCCATCATTGTGCCTTATTTTCTGTTCCCACAATTCAGGGAATCAGGGTTGGGTTTTCATATTTGTCCCTTCCTTATACAATTTTTTGCTGTATATTGAAAAATTTCAAACAGTGAAAGTAGTGAAAGAAACTTTACTTTCTTTTCTTTAAAATTAATTGGGTGAATTTGTAGCAGCTATAACATCAGTCAAGTTCATAATGTTCATCCCACTGAAAATGAATGGGATCCATTAGGTAGCATCCATACTGGAACTTTTTCTCACTATAGAAAAATATTATATTCCCATCCTTGGATAGATTTTTTAGGACCTGATTTAATTGATCCATTTTCTTTTTTGCATAGACTTAATAAAGGACCTGCTTTATCAAGATGCTATACTAGATGCGATTTTAGAAATAAGAAGGACGGGTTATATTGAGCCTCAGACAAATTGAAACAGTCCCTTTGGGATATATTTTACAATACCTTTGCAATTTCCATGTTTCATATTTTTTCTGTTTTTCTTTTTCTCCCTTAATTGTAGATCTAGTTGCAGGCCAAGCGCAACAGTGCTAAAAATGGGACCAGTGGGTGCCGAGTCTGATGAGAATCAGACAGTGGAAGAAACCAAGGTGGAGCAGTATGGGGCAGGGCACACCACTCCGAGAGGTGAGCTGGCCCCTGACCCTGAGCCAGAGCTCATAGACAGCACCAAGCTGGTTGAGGTACGTGTTGTCCTCATACTGGCCTACTGCTCCATCATCTTGCTTGGGGTAGTTGGCAACTCTTTGGTGATCCACGTGGTGATCAAATTCAAGAGCATGCGTACAGTAACCAATTTTTTTATTGCCAACCTGGCCGTGGCGGATCTTTTGGTGAACACCTTGTGCCTACCATTCACTCTTACCTATACCTTAATGGGGGAGTGGAAAATGGGTCCTGTCCTGTGTCACCTGGTGCCATATGCCCAGGGCCTGGCAGTTCAAGTGTCCACCATCACCTTGACTGTAATTGCCCTTGACAGACATCGGTGCATCGTTTACCACCTAGAGAGCAAGATCTCCAAGCAAATCAGCTTCCTGATTATTGGCTTGGCTTGGGGCATCAGTGCCCTCCTGGCAAGTCCTCTGGCCATCTTCCGGGAGTACTCACTGATTGAAATTATTCCAGACTTTGAGATTGTGGCCTGTACTGAGAAATGGCCTGGTGAAGAGAAGAGCATGTATGGCACTATCTATAGTCTTTCCACTTTGTTGATTCTGTATGTTTTGCCTCTGGGCATCATATCTTTTTCCTATACTCGTATTTGGAGTAAACTCAAGAACCATGTCAGCCCTGGAGCTGCAAATGACCACTACCACCAGCGAAGGCAGAAAACCACCAAGATGCTCGTGTGTGTGGTGGTGGTGTTTGCTGTCAGCTGGCTGCCCCTCCACGCCTTCCAACTTGCTGTTGACATCGACCACCATGTGCTGGACCTGAAGGAGTACAAACTCATCTTCACGGTCTTCCACATCATCGCCATGTGCTCCACCTTTGCCAACCCTCTTCTCTATGGCTGGATGAACAGCAACTACAGGAAGGCTTTCCTCTCAGCCTTCCGCTGTGAGCAGAGGTTGGATGCCATTCACTCGGAGGTGTCTGTGACACTCAAATCTAAAAAGAACCTGGAAGTCAAAAAGCACAATGGCCCCAGTGACTCTTTATCTGAGGCTACCAATGTCTAAGGAAACAGGTGTGAAGACTTAGGGATGAATTCTGACCAGAGCTATCAACCTGATTAAGGAAGGCTCACAGGTATGTCCTAGTCTCCCATTTTAAGGACAGAAAAGCATCTTAATGGAAGTATTAGCCGCATAATTCCTGAAAAACTGATAGGGAGAGCCTTGGTGAATTTACTCGTATTCAAAGGTAGGAACAACAAAATGGTTTCATTACCACTGCTCAGAGGGTAGATTGAATAGAGTCAAAACAGGGAGAAATGCTTTTGACTCATCTCCCAGATAGAAGGCAAAGTGAACAAGAAATTGACATTATCAGCATTGCTAAAAGGTGGGAGTAAAATAAGTGAACTTTCAAATCACATCAGGACAAGCACTAGGGGTTCTGTTCTGTGTCCTCCCTGCTTCCTCCTCATCTGATGAAAAGTTTCTGAACACGAATTTCTCTAGGGAGCCATAGATGCTCCTTTATGGTGTTTGGTTTTATTGTCCTTCTCATATGTGAAATCCAGAAGAGAATGCTATAGGAAAATGTTGCTAACTGAATGACTTCAAGATGGTTTCAAGGGCATAAACTGAAATTTGCTAGACAATTAATATGTTAAGGAAAATTCTTAGTACTCAGTGAGCAATTGCTCATACAAGCAAATGCACTTTTTGTGAATTATTTTTCAACTCAGAATTGAAGGCTGATATTCTCAGAATTATAAAAAATATGAACCATTATTGAATTTCTCATATCAAGTTTTTCCTGCTTTTGTATAGATACTATTACATAATCAGTAAATAGCTTAATTCTTTTAATTATTGCTAATTGTTATAACTTTCGGAACCTGTATGATCTCTGTGATGATTCCTGTGTTGGAACAAATTTGCACTAAAATTAAATCAGATTAGAATATAATTTTTACAACATTTTGCAACATATGACTATTTGTAAGCAACTTTTTGCAGAGGCACATACATGTTTACAGAACACTGAAGTATTATTTTCTTTGGAATTCATTTTCCATGGACCCATTCATGATTAAAAAATATATAACTTCGATAAAATTGACTCATCTGGTAAGAAAAACTAAAAGCACTTGATTCATTACACCTTGCAAATGTTTTGTTTCCACCAATTTCTTTCTTTTTTTCCTCAAAATAACTATATATTTATTGGATATATGAATATATACATAATAAAATGTACCAATAAATAATGGAACATAGATCCTAAGTTTTTACTTAATGATTTTATTAATATAATTTTTATTTTAAAGTACCTAACCAAAGATAATTAAAACACTCTATGTTCATAAAAAAGAAGACAGATTTTAAAAATAGTCGTACTTCTCTGGATGCTGTTAAAGAAGTTTCATTGTAGCTATATTTTTGTAAATATGATGGAATTTGTGAGCATATTCCTTACATTTCAGACAAATTCAACATGAGTATTCAGTTGTAACACTAATTTTATGAGCTGGAGAGTTTCATTTTATGGATATACTTAAAATTTATACTACAAATCTTATTAAATTCCTTCTATGCTAGAAATAAAAGATTGGTCCTGAAATGAACTATACTTTTGGAATACTGAAAAAGAATTAAATCAGTAGAAGTAAGACTAGATCAAAGATTAAGAAATTAACAAAAATAATATATATCTGTATTATATCATATAATTGAATAACTCATTTTTTCTGTTGGACTTAGCAAAACTATCTAAGGAGAAGCTTTTTGTCTTTTTCATAGCTGTTACATTGCTTAAGATGTTAGTAGAAGATTGTAGTTAAGGATTTTATTTCCCTTGGAGAGTTCTTACACTGAAAGAAATTTATATGCTTTGATGAGTAAACTGTTAGAATTCAGTTAATGAACTGATTAACATATGTCTGATTCAATTAACTATGTCAATTCATTAATAAAATATCTTTTATGTAGTGATTTTAATGTTGAAATAAAAGGAATTTGGGAAATTAAAGAACTTGTATGGAATTAAACAACTTGTATGGAGTCTAGCTGTCCTGCTATCTGTACTTGAACTTGGGTCAATGGATCCACTCCTGTGACTGAAATTGTAATCTATGTTCTGAGAATGCTTGAATCTTTGTTTTCAGACAAGATGTTTCTTTTGCATTTCCAACCTGTGTCTCTACTGAGTAATGAAATGTGTGCATGGGCCTCACCAGCAGATAAAACCCAACCTATGTCAAAAGGACCTGACATTTTAGGGCACCCATCTCAACTTCACCCTGTCCCAGTCATGACTGCTACACACCAGTTCCCAAAGCTTTGAACTTTGTGGTCACCCTTGACTCGTCTGTGCCTTCATCTCACATATCCACTTAACTGCTGTGTTTTGTTCTAATTCCTAAATGTTTCTTGAAACATTTCACTTTTCTTCATCCCTGTCTTCCAGGCTACCATTGTTTCTCAGACCCTTGTTATTGCAAATTTAGATGATATATTTTCTTGCTAATTGATGCCTTTATACCTTGTCATCTTTTCATACAATCAACTTTGATCTACTAAACAAGTAATTTTTCAAAACTCTATTTTCTGTCTCTCTGTCCCTCGCCCCCCTCTCTTTTCTTTTTGTAATACCAGGAATTGAACCAGCAACCTCAGTAATGACCTGCATTTCCAGCTGCTTTTATTCATTTATTTTTGGACAGGGTCTTGATAAATCACTGAGGCTTGCCTTGAACTTAAAATCATTCTCCTGTATTATTGTGATTATTGGTAAGTGCCATCATAACAGGTGAAACTAAGCTTTTATCAAACCATTTTTAATTAAGATTTTTATATATCTTCTCATAATTCTTATAATGAACTCAAAATAGTTTTATGACCTGAGAAGCTGCATAGCTCCTGATTATGCCCATGTATCAGGGCAAATTCTCTTTTCTTCCAATCTTTGTTGCTAGATTTTAAGCATCATGAAAACAGGGGATAGAGACTATCTTAACCCTTCTGGAACCACAGGCACTTACAGTTCCTGTCACCAAATACTCAATAAATATCTATCAAGAAAACTGAGTTTCTGAAGTAGATATTAAAGCCAAGATAGATTCACAAGGTTGTGACCATATGTATCTCTTTTTATCATGTATCTTCTCAGAAAGTAAGGTTTCAACTGAACAAAATCCAGAAAACATCTTTATTTGATCAGGATCATCCATTATTTGATTATTTTTTTATTTCATTTTCTCCCTTTTTAAGACCATTAAAAGTAGACATTTGCATACACAGAAAGGACTTTATACATAGCTTTCATTTCTAGGTCACTCAAAATTATCTAGAACTTTGTCACCTGGGGAAAATAGAGGAATCAGCAAAGTTTTCTAGTCATGATTCAGGAGTAGAGAAGACATCGTAGGTATTTGTAGACTAAAGTGACTTAATACAGAAGATTAAAGGCATAAAAACTTTGGAGGAGCTGGAGAAATAAAGGTTAGGAAACCTGTAAACCATGGACAATGTCAACAGCACTAAAGGGCATGACGCACAGGAAGAGGAACAGTTACAACCGTCATAATCATACCCTCTTCTACCAGGCCCACACTGCTGCACACTACCACCATAGACTCTATAATGGCTTGTGCTTCTCTTCTGCTTTCCAATATTCATGTAGTATTCCCCTTTGGGGGAATAGAACTCAAGGCTTTCCTGGTTGCAATTTAGGGAAAATATTAATTCTTAGGTTTTCAATTCCTAAGATACAGGGACATCATGGAAGACAAAATATAGTGTCCAGTTACAATCTGGCCATCTGGCAATCTTGAGGGCTGGCTGCATGGTGTAATTAATTTGTGAACTCAATCTCATCCTCTCTAATGCCTTTTTCAGAGTTGCAGTGGTGCAAGTTGACTATTTTTTTTTTTTTTGCCTTTTTCTCTTGTCATGGTCAATGTTAATAGTCAAGGTACTCTTTAAATTGCCCCATTAAAAAGCAGACTGAGGTGTAACTTATAAGTCAAAGTCACACTTGGTTCTCATGGAAGGTTAATTGGAATAGAGCAAGAAAAGATGAATCCTGTTGAGTTACATCAAGATTTGAACAATGTGGTTTAAAAGCCACAGGATTAAAATCTAAATTTGGGTTTACTTCCTAGGAAATGGTGATGTCTCAGGAAGAAAACAGTAGCAAAAGATAAAAAAGCACTTTTCTTTAAGAAATCAGAGCACTTAATACAAAGATAGTGGAAAATGTGAACAACCTTGTAATTTTATTTCATGACATTAAACAGAAGTAAAAATTTTATTAAACAAGTGGTTCCTAAAGATTGACTTGTGAGGCTTTATAAATGAAACTTGACAAACTATTGACCTTTTTCTGTCTCAATACATTGGAAAGATACCCAGACTCCATATGCTTTCTTGGGTGCCGAAGAGATTACAGAAAGAATGGCCTGCAGGTTAAGACAATTCGCTACATGTCATCTGTAATTCAATTTTTTTTTTACACTTCAAGAATATGTAACTGAATGGAAGTATGTGAAAATTAAAATTACTACGTTATCTTGACAAGAAATAAAGGAATACAACAAGTCAATAATTATTTTTTATTTACATTTCCCCTTCTCATAGAAAGTAACAAAAATTATTTAAAAAAATCACACACACACACACACACACACCAAATATATGTAACCATCCAACATCACATTGTATATAGCATCTGTTGGGAGGAAAAAAAAAGCTATTTTCTTACTGTAAGGTCATGCAGGCTCCAGGGGCACCTGTTGTGAGATCTTTCCTATTCTCAGGTATAAGTAAGCCACAATCTTGTTTTGAGACTGCAATCAAGGAGCAAGAAACAAGGTGATTCAAGGGACATACTTGGGGTTGGGACTGCTGAATATTAAGTTGGAGCCAAATAACATCAGTCAAAATAGTCTACAATGATATCTGGTTACCATCAGACTTGACCATATGTAGAGTTATAATAACAGGATCTAGAGGAACAGAGAATATGTACTTTTATATTTATTGAAGTAATAAGAAAGGTTTGACACTGAGAGACTGTTTCTGCCATTTGTTCCAG